CATTTTCTTGGACTTACATAGCAAACTGTTTTTATAATAGTTTAAAATTCTCATTCAGTTTATTTGTGAGCCCATTGTAAGTGTTACATTGTTTAAGGAAAATTACTGGGCAAGCAACTGTGCAATTAAATGACAAAACTCAGTCATGATACGAAATAGAAAAAATATAAAAAGTAAGTTTATTTTTGGGCAGAATGCAAGTCTTTTTGCTTATTTATTATATCTAGTCTGTTTTATTCATCATTGTCATATAAAATGTGTGCCGAACATCAACAAAACTAGCTCAAATAGCAAAAAAATGCTTTGGTTCATGCAAATACTCTCAGACTTTCCTGTCAAAAACTTTTCCGGCTAAAACAAATGATCCCCAAACGCAGACAAATCATTTATGTATCAGGCTGTGTACCACAATTAGAAAATTACACCAAACAAGGTTGTGTTCCTTATACAAAAACAGGCGCACAGAAAAGCCCACAGAGGTATTCAAACATGCATAAATGAAGTCTGGAGGTTGTATTCCCAGCAGTTTATCCATCATACCCATCAAGATGTGGAGCAGGTGTTACTTCGACAGCCTTAAATTTATGAATCACATTTTATGAGATCACTGGTCTCATTCAACTGCAACCGACGTTTCAAACATCTGTAAGTGATCATAATTTCACTTCCATTAAGTGCACATTAGCCAGAGCATTACCAGCTGAGAAGAAAGCTGTCGTGTAATGCATCATTTGGAGACAAACTTTAGCTGAATAAATTCCAGATCAGTTAAAAACAAGTGCTTTAGTGCATTATATCAATTTAAGCACTACCTTTGATAGTTTAAATAGGAACAATATACAGCATGTAGTATTCTCTGTGTTCTCTCTATTGGTTTAAAGTTTTATTGTGTGTATTTATGCCCTACCTGAGTTAGTAGGAGAGATCATATCTCTCCAGTTTTAGCTTCTCTCCATTCGCTCCATGTCACATCCAGAATTTAATTCAAAATATTACTTCTAACCTACAAAGCTATCAACCACGTAGCTCCATCTTATATTCGAGATCTTATTGTTCCAGATTTTCCTAACAGAGCACTTCGCTCTCAAACTGCAGGCATACTCATGGTTCCTAGAGTTTCCAAAAGCAGAATGGAAGGAAGTTATCAGTTGTCCGGTTCCTCTCGTAGAACCAACTTCCAATTTCTGTCTGTGAGGCTGACACATTGTCCAGTTTTAAGACTTTCCTTTTTGATAAATCCTATAGTTAATTGTTATACTGCTATAGGTTCAGACTACAAACACATTGACCTCATTTCTTGAAATGAATTGTTAAAATTGAATTCATTTGATATAAGTTCTATCATAACCTGTGATTCTTGACCTGCCATTGTTTATCTGTTCCTCCTTCCTGTTCCTCTCAAACCCAACCGGTTGAAGCAGATGACCGCTTGTCCTGAGCCTGGTTCTGCTAAAGGTTTCTTCCTCAGGAGGGAGTTTTTATTTTCTCCTGTCACCTTCATACTCAAGATAAGAGTCCTGTGATGGAGTTAAATTCAAAGCAGTCTGCTCCTCAGATAAATAATGTTAAATTATTTATAAATATATATATGAACGTTTCTGTTCAGTGCCCTGAGACGACTTATGTTCTGACTTGGCGCTACGTAAATAAACTGAATTGAATTTAAAGTGAAACTCATTGGTGACTTTTCCAAATGGGACAATGTCAAATATAATATGAGTAATCGTTCAGAAACTTTTAAGCTCAGGGACCCAAAAACCAACAGGCACATTTATTATTATTTATGTAAACATGTCACCCTCCTGTCTAATGAGCCTTTCATCGTAAGCATAATAAAACAGCTTGCATTAGCATGGGCTAAATGAACAGCCGAGTGCTCCCATGTCTGTGCAGCGAGATGAAAGCAGATGTTCCACAAGCCAAACGTCGGCATAACGAACCAAGTTCTACAAAAGAACAGAAGGGACTTTGAACCAACATCATCCTCATCAGCTCATTGACTCCATTAGAGAACTCCCCTGGTTAAACAATATTATGCGAGAGCAACACCTAAATGAACCACGACCAACTGACCATGAATGAGCCGCCAGATTGATTTTTTACTCCCGTCCTATAAACACATTAGTGATGTACAGCTAATGAACTTGGAGTCAAAGCAGATGTCAATTATCAGACACATGAAAGGTGATGTAAACAGTTAAAAAAAAAATAAAAAAAAGGTTGGACCCAACAAATCCAGACCCAAAGCTGAGACATGAGTACATATATTGCCATATTACACATATGGACCTGCAAAACAATTTGATGCTACATTCAGGTAAAGAGAATATTTGAGGTAAATTAAATACTTGACAGAAGGAGACTGATGTTGATGTCAAATCTAAATAAACAGAAGAGAAAGTTATGTCCTATCTTTTACATAAACGATTTGAATTACATCAGTCCCTCGTTTATCACGGGTTTAGGGGACCACGCCCCCACGATAAGTGAATAACCGTGAAGTAGGGATACAGTAGTCCAAGTTCAAGTTTCACTCCCAATCTACCTCCTTCTGTGTAAATAAACAATTTAATTTAAATATGGTAATGTTTTAAATAAACAGTTGTTTATTTAAAATATTACAGTATTTAAATTTAAATTGTAGAGAAGAGAAGCACAGGTGTATAGCGAATGTTAACACTTCACACAGCTGATGCAGCGCGGAGCAGAAATGTACTTCTTGATCAATTACACTGTAACAACTGAACATAGAAGTTCTAAAATAATTAAAAATAACTTTTAACACTTTAGTATTTTGTTATTTTGACCATTTTACGATGGGACATACTTTGAATTTTAAGCTGGAAGATGAAAGTCAATCGGTGCAGCTGGACAGCAAAGGGTTAACTCCTTCACAAAGCTGCTTCAGCCAGAGGAGAAATGTGTGGGTGGCAGAGAGGAGATCATGACAGGCTGCAGGGGGAGCTTCTTCCTGCACCTGTGGGCTACACACAGGTGTAGCAGGTGCTAAGTCATTAAAAATAATTTATTTTAAACAAACAATCCATGCCACTCGTGTGGCTCATCCATCAATCAGCCAGTTGTGTGTCATGTCCACTCTTACTTTGAAAAGAGCGCGGAAGTCAATCCGCAATGTAGCGATGGACTACCGTATATATATATATATATATATATATATATATATATATATATATATATATACAATTCTTTATTTACCAGGTTAAAGCCTCACTGAGATTAAAAGTCTAATTTTCCAGGGACATCACATAATAAATATTGATATTTAATAAATATTGATAAATATTGAAATTTGATATTTGCAATGTTAAAATACAGTTCATTTCATAAAGGGACCCACATAAATGAAAGGTTGTGCCTTGTTCACTGTGTAGTATTAGCTACTTGCATATGGAAATAGTTATAAGAAAATACATCAAGAAACTAGTTTCTGGTGTGAAAATGCAATAAATCATTAATTTGTTATACTTACATCATAAATAAAGGTGGAATGTATTTTTTTAATATGTGAGTTTAAAAAACTTGAATGAAATTATCAAAAGAAAATGTTCTCTTATAAAAGACATTAAAGTCAAAGGCAGGCATCAATAAACATTTAGTCCTTTTATCTGAACAGTTCCTTTGTGAGTTTTTATGCTTTAACCACATATAATAAAAGCTCAAATATACTCAATCAGTACAGTTATTTCTTCTTATGTTGCAAAGACAGCTTTTAAAATGAGAATAACCAAACATCTGTGTACTTTTTAGTATAACAATGACATAAAACGTTGAATAAAAAACTTTTAGTTTATTAACTGTTTGGAAAGTGAGGCTATAAAAATACTTGGACGGTCAACGTTCTCTTTTTGTGCAGCTCATAACCAGAAACATTAAACTCATAGAACTAAATCAAATCAGCTGTTTTCTAAATCTATATGCTGTACGAATGCCATCATGCTTAGAATAGTTTCTGCTGCATTTATTTTATATTTTTATAACGTTTTTATCCAAAATCATGTGATTTCATCAGCCATGAGCTTTATGTTAATTGTTCATTAGTTGTAATTATAATGTTTTATCTTGTGTGATCATTCTAATACTAATCTGGGGGAGAGATTATTCAAATAATATACTCCTACATGTATTTGGATATGTGCCTGAATAATTGATGGTTTATCAAATCAATACTGATCATTTGATCAAAAAAAAGTTATGTTTTTAGATTGGTTAATTTGGACTACCATTTTTCAAACAGGCTCATTTTAATGTATCAGTCAATTAAAAAAAACTTTTCCAGGCAACATTTTTAAACGTTCCTGGTGACATTATGTATATGCACGCTGCTTTTCGTTGTTTAGATTATGCATGTTCTCTGCATTTCAGAATAAATCCATTGTACAGAAAGCATCACCGTGTGCTTTATAATGTCCAGATCCTCCTGAAGCCTATGACAACAACAGCATGAACATTTTGATGTGTAGACTTTTTATTCTTTTAAAAACTTGTTATGACTTGCAGTTAAAGTTCCCAGGATTTTTCTAAACTTGATAGAATGTCAATTTTATCAAATTTTGTCATTATAACGTTGCTTCTTGATCATGAAATAATCTTCAGAACAAACTGAAGCTTGATGCTTTTGTCTCCACGTGGAAAGTTTGAACCTTAAATAAAGTTTTCTGTAAGTGAAGAGTACAGCTGCATTTATTATGCTGAACTTTTAAACGTATTTAGTGCTTATTCTAAGTTGTTGTATTCTGTAATCTGTATTGTTTAGCTTGTAACTTTATAATGTACCATGTTTTTTTTTACAAAGTTCTGCCTGTAATAGAGATGTTATTGTGACTGTGGCTGATTAAATGAAGGTAAAGTGATGATTTATGTTGTTAAAAGTTTATTTCTAAGCCAGACAGAAGTCATTGTTGCAGAAAAAATGACACACAAACGTGACAAGTCTTCCTCGCAGTGCTTGCATAAATCTAAGGACTGGGATCATGACTTACTTGTACCAGTCCAGCCCCTTCTCGTAGTTCCTATCAAAGAAATGTGGCTCGTTTCCAACGGCTCTGACGTCCGGGTGAACTCTCAGAGCCTCCAGCAGGGCTCGGGTCCCCCCTTTCTTCACGCCGATGATGATGGCTTGTGGGAGCTTCTTCTCGCCGTAATCCGAGGTGCAGTTCACCCTGAGGTCGCTGTCCGTGGTGCTGATCTCCTGGCGCTCCCTCACCAGCGCCGGCGTCGGGGACGCCTGCGTCCTAATCCACTCCACGGTCCTCTGCTCGGCCCCGGCATGGCCCCTCAGGGACGGGGTCGTCCCCTCAGCCTCGGTGAGCTCCACGAAACCCTGCGAGGCCGAGTAAAGTTTCTCCCTCAGAGTGACAAAAGTTGTATCCTCTGTCACCAGCCTCCCCTGATACACGTAGTTCTCTTGCAGAGGGAACTGCAGCGAGTTGTAGCAGCTCATCAAGCTGTAGAACAAGTAGGTGACAGAAAGGGAGAGGGTGAACATGAATAAGATTTTCCGGGGCACTTTAGAGGTAAAAACCGAGGTGCTGGACCAAGATGCCATCTCTGACAGCAGGGATCCTCTCAAAGAAGTGGCCAGACATGTTTCCACCCCGAGTCTTGCATGGACAAAATCAACAGTAAGAATCAGTCCCTATCAGCCGCTGCTCCAGCTAAAAAGGCATCAAGCTGGACCAAACCACCCGAACCCATGCGAATGGCATCTTTTCTGAAGGATGGCGAGGAAATATTCCGGGAGAAAACCCCCCCCCCCCCCCCCCCTTTTTTTTTTTTTGTTGTTACACCAAATCCGACAGACAGTGTCTCTATTTATTGGACTGAAGTTGCAGATTTGAGAAGCTGGTGGTCTGGCGCCCTTCCAGGTGAGCAGCCTGGCTTTAAGTGGACAGTGGACAGAAAAAATCCTGGCATTTTATGAAGCATGGGGGAGGAATAAAGTAGCTTTCTTCTTTATCAGCCGTTCAGTCCCGTTTGCGATTCAAATAATGGATTCCCATGCAGCCAGAACACAAAACAAAACAAAAAACTACAGATCCACAGAGTTTTTTCCCACCAAATGGAAAACAGTTGTTTACTTTGAGTTGAGGAGAAATAGAAAGAAAAAAAAAAAAAAGAGTCGACAGCCTTTTTGCGCAACAAAGCTTCCACACTTCCCACTGACTGAACAGGCTCGGTGTCTTTTACGCCTTCTCACATTGGTCGGATCCTACGATGTGAGCTCATCTGAGCTGGAGCCCCCCCCCCCCTGCACAACTATAGTGAGAGTACACCCACATCTCCTCAGGTCCGCGCGCACAACCAGTCACATCCCCATCCGTGTCGGGTAGTTGCGTGCGGAGGGAGGCTTCCCAGTCATTCCAGGGAGGGCTGGCAGAGATGATGAACTCCCGCTGCTGAGATGTGTCTGAGAGCTGATCACAGCCTTAATTAATTTACTCTGCACGGAGTTCAGCTGTTCTACTCAATACCAGCGAGATTATTTAGATATGCGTTATTTTCAGGGAAAGCTCGTGCCTGCTCCCTGCTGGTTTTTTTGTGGAGCACTGCAAAAAAAAAAAAAAAAGAAAAACTAGGTTTTTATTAGTAACGAGTTTATACTGTGTTTATTATATTCATTTATTTTCTGTAAATGTATTTAAACAGCAGAGAGCAGATGAATAAGAACAATTAAAGGCTTATTATAGCCCAATTAATTTAACGCTAAAGTTTTAGGTTAAGATAATAATGTTAAGAAATGAAGGAGCCATGGTGTGTTCAACGTCATGGGACACTGGATTATTTCAGGAAACATGTCTGTGTTTATGTGGAGGCTGAGTTTCATACTATCACATCAATATAGCTGAATATCTATAAAACTGATTGAGCTGCAGCCATTGTTGGTTATGGTTGCTTAGCTGTGGCAGCCATCTTGAACTGGGTTGTCTCCAGACGTTATTGCTTTGTGTGATATGAGAGACACGAGATATTTTGCTAACAGAGAAACAGGGCTGATGCCAACTGTTAATGCTAAAGATTTATTTGAAAAAAAAAAGTGTTGAAAAATGTAGTGAATATGATGATTAACTACAACCACACCACATATTAATTTATTATCTGTAAAGTTGACAAAGTTAGACATTTTATTTTACCCATAGAAAGTTGGCTGAGGTGGCCATCTTGGTTTGGGTTGACTACAAAAATTAAGTAGTTGTAAATATTTCCAAATAACTATATTCTTAGAGTTTTATTAAAATACAAGTTCATGAGATATTTTGCTAACAGACAGACATACCATACCATTTTATTTATAGAGCACTTAAAACAGCTACAAGGCCAACCAAAGTGCTGTACAGACAGAACAACAGACAACACACGAAGCAAAATACAAAATGAAGTAAATCAAAAATATAGACATGAAAACGATGCAGATAATAAATATGACAACAAACCAGTGTGGAGCATACAGGATCAAAACACAGATCATCTGGTGTTGAATGCTACTGAATAGTGAGTTTTTACACGGGACTTAAAAACCAAGAGGGAGGGGGCCTGTCTGACAAGCAGAGGTAACTCGTTCCAAAGGCTTGGTCCTGCTACAGAAAAGGCCCTGTCACCTCTGCGCTTAAGACGAGTTCCTGGAACAGTGAGGTGCAACTGGTCCGTTGACCTCAGAGAACATGGTGGGACTTACAGTTGTAGCAGATCAGAGAGATTTTTTTTTTTTGGGGGGGGGGGGGGGTTTTGTAAACAGGAGTATTTTGAACTGGATTCGAAGGAGAACCGGTAACCAGTGCAGTGAGGCCAAAACTGGTGTAATGTGATCTCTTTTGCCTGTACTGGTTAAAAATTGGGCTGCTGCAATCTGGACCAGTTGTAGTCGTGCAATGGAGGTCTGAATGATACCAAACAGGAGCGAATTGCAGTAATCAAGCCTAAATGTAATGAATGCATGTATTACTGTCTCCAGGTACATACACCTTTGTTATCAATAGTACATGGTATATGAACACCAGTGACCCCCATGACCTGAGAAGAAAGAAGCGGGTACATATAAACAATGGATGGATGGATGGATGGATGGATGGATGGATGATGGATGGATGGTAATTGGTAAATTCTGAAAAAAGATGTCACAATCTGCAATTGCTTTAGTTTTTGTTGGGAATCAACCTCAGCCTTTAGTGCACCCAATTTTAGCTCATTCTCTCTAAAACTGATTAGGTTATGCTCATTTTGTGTTTGCAAACATTGTTTAGTGGTGGCTGCCATCTTGCATTGGGTTGACACCAAATGACTTGTAGTTGTACAATCTATAATTGCTTTTTAAGCTTTCCCTAAAAACTGTCCAGTGGTTTATGAGATGTTTTTTGTGCATGCTGCAGACAAACACAGACACAATGGCAAGCAGACATCATGCATTCTGCACCATGCTGCTGCTTGGATGTATCAAACACTGAATTGTTGTACATTTATGAGTGCAGACTGTAATTACTGCTGGAATATTCAGTGGACCTTAACTTGTACACTTTGTTCCTGCAGCATGATGATCTAAAAATTACATGTCACCCACATGTCTCCCTGTATTAGATAGCCTAATTCATCACACACCAGGAGCGCCATCGTCACAATAGGTAATCAGTCACAAATCATTTACAGTGTCCAGTTCTCCGAGCAAAGGAGCAACTGCTGTTTTTTAAAGACCTGTGGGCTGCAACACAAATACTTATGCGGATATCTTGCTTGAATATATGTGTCATTTGTAAATGCCTGACGTTGGCTGGGAATGTAAACCTGAGGTGTTGTGAAGAATATTTTACAAATGTTTTTAAGTCAAGGACATAATACTAAAGTTATTAAGTATTCAGCAAGTTCACTTCTACCAAATCATAAAAAAAATCTGTGAACGTTTAAGCTTTATATGGAGAAAATATGGTATTACTGCTGACCGTCCTATGGGCAAGCCCATAGGAAGGTCACTTATTTTCTAAACCTGTTAAAACCGTATTTAACAACTTCTAATAAGAATAAACAGGATTAATAAATTGTAAATGACAAAGTTTTTAAGGGGTTTATGAGCTTCAGCTCATTGTTTGCTGTGTGACTTCAAATGTATAGTTCTGGTTGCCCTGTAACAATACAAGGTTATATATGGTGGTCACATGTTTGCGTCCAAGTCTGACAAGCTTAAAAACTTAGACGAAACACTGAAAATAGGTGAATAGTCTTGAGTCACACAACTTTTCAGCCTTATAAAACAAACTAAACAATAAGTGTTCTGATGGTAGAGGTTAATTATTTGCTTATGCAGCGTTTTTTTCACAGAAGTATTTGTCAAAAATAGTTGTTTTGTTAGCGTAGATATAAAATGCTCCTCATTTCGTTAGCGGTTAGCATAACCAGGACAAAGACCTGCCCTTTTCCCCATATCGTGTTCTCCATGACTGATGTCACAGCTGAGACTGTACTAACTAACAGAACATCCCTTCAAAATTGACATCAATTTAAAACATACCATTTTCTCTGAAGTCCTTAGAGAACATAATAGCAGTTTAGAAAAAACTGAGTATATTAAATCTGCATTATTTGTCGTTTTCACCAGATCTGTTTACAGCCATGTTGCTTTTTGGATCCACATGTGTAAAAATAGCAGCATCCTAAGCTACTGTGCGTAACATGAAATCATATAAAATTGACAATATGAGCTGCCTTTTAAAAAAAAATTAGTCACAACTATCTACAAAAGTCTATGAACTGCATGTTTGGAAGAAGCTTGATTTAAAACGAGATCGCCTTTTTTATTTTTATAATATACTGAGCGTTCCGTGTTTTTGTTCAGAGTCAATGCCTCGGTTTGAAATATTTCGTTATTGTCGAGCCAGAGCTTAATGTGGCGATGCAGGTGACTGGGTGAGTGGGAGGAGAGCACGGGCAAGTGTTTGGAGCACAATGGTTACTGGGTGTTTTGCAGTCAAGAGAGCGTAGGAGAGCTCGATGGGTTTGTTGAAATTGTTGTATTCACAAATTGCCACTCGGAGAAGAAGAGAGCTCTCTAACGCCAACTGCCACGTTTGAAAAGTCCCGTTGTCATCAGACTACCTGTCTAAGAGTCACCCTGTGAGAGAGTTCGGAGCATGCTCAGAACGCCTTGTTGTGAAACAGTTACAACGAAATGTTTCAGTGTTAACGGTACGAGGGAATGGCATTAAGATGGCTGCGGTTGCACAGAGGTGATAAATTACAATCTGAGCACAAAGAGAAATTTATTGAGCCGTTCTGTCTTCCCTTTGTGGTGCGTGTTATCTCGTGCCATTCATAAATCGCTCAGACATTGTCTGTCCTCGAGCACGCTCAGTGGGGAGAACGAGTCTATTTGCATGTACAAATAAGCAGTCACTCAGAGAAAACCGCGTTCACTGGAGTCAAGTTCAAGGCCAGACAATTACCTGGTTGCAAAAAGATTCAGTTACTTTTAATGAAAGGGGGGGAGGGGGGTCTGCACCCGAGGGCAACAGCTATTTGAAGGATTCGATAGGGTTTAAAATCACTACGTGACGGTTCCTGGATAACATCTGAAATTAAAAATGTGTCTCAGCCCTCCAAAATGTTTGCTGTCCTGTGCAACTGC